AAAATGAGGAGTTTAGCTCTAAAAGAGGGATTTAGATCCTAAAAATGAGGGTTTAGACCCTAAAAACAAGGTTTTCAACAAGACAATCAAAGCTTTTGGCTTCAAAAATGAGGATTTGGGACCTAAAACTGAGGCTTTGGGACCTAAAAATGAGGAGTTTAGCTCTAAAAGAGGGATTTAGATCCTAAAAATGAGGGGTTAGACCCTAAAAATGAAGGTTTGGCCCCTCTAAGATACGTCTGAGTTCAGAAATGAGGGGCTGGATGGTAAAAATGGAGCTGTGGAGCTGGAAAACAGGATTGGGATAATTAAAGTGGCCCTGGGGAGGGGCCTCTCACCTGGCAGGCACAGCACGAAGAGCCCCGTCCCTCTCATCCTGCTGGAATGACGGAGGAGCAGCCGGAGGAGTCTGGGAAGAGAGGGAATGCCGAGGGATCGGGGGAGGGGCCCAGGGAACCCCCCATTCCCAGCCCCCCCACACGGAGATGCCCCCGGGAATTCGCTCCAAAAAAAAAACCCTCCCCAAACCCTCCGAAATTGAGAAACTTTCCCCAAAAAAGGCAGGCGGGGCTTCCCCCCCCCCCCCCGCAATTCCCGGGGGATTCGCGAGGACCAAGCCCTGGAATACCCGGAGGCAGGACGGGGATGGGAAAGGCCGGGATGGGGGAGGAGAGGGTTGGACCTCCCGGGGACAACAGAGCCCGGAGGGGAGCTCTGGGGCTCCTCTCCTGGGATTTCCAACCCAATTCCTTGGGAAAGGGCTCGTTCTGGGGGTTCCCTGCTGGGAAATGCAGCCCCTCAATCCAAAGGGATGCAGAGAATTGAGGGGGAAAATAGGGATTTTAGGGAAAATAGGGATTTGAAGGAAAATCCCGTGCAGAGGCTGGGGTTTGGCAGCCTTGGGCGCTCCTGTTTCCCTGGAGTTTTCCAAGTCTGCTTTTCCTGGCAGGAAGATGGGGCAAGGCTGGGATGAGCTGGGATGGCAGGAGTGCCAGCAGCCCTGCCCCTCATCCCGAGCCAGAGCCAGGGGGAAAACTGAAGGGAAAAGAGAAACTCTCCCCAAAAACATCCCAGATCCTGGTGGGAATGAGGCTCCAGCCCTGGCACACTGGGAAGGTGGGAATGGAGGCACCATCAGCTTCCAGGGATCCTATCCTGACCATCAGTGGAGTGTGGGACCTTCCAGGGATCCCATCCCAACCATCATGAGGGTGGAACATTCCAGGGATTCCATCCTGACCATCTCCAGGCTGGCACATTCCAGGGATCCCATCCTGACCATCCCCAGGCTGGCACATTCCAGGGATCCCATCCTGACCATCTCCAGGCTGGCACATTCCAGGGATCCCATCCTGACCATCCCCAGGCTGGCACATTCCAGGGATCCCATCCTGACCATCTCCAGGCTGGCACATTCCAGGGATCCCATCCTGACCATCCCCAGGCTGGCACATTCCAGGGATCCCATCCTGACCATCTCCAGGCTGGCACATTCCAGAGACCACGTCTTGCACCATCCCAACAATTCTCTCCCACAAACCCTTCCTGCCCCTGTGTCCTCACTGTCACCACAGTCCAGCACCTTCCAGGGACACCAAACCCGGATCCTGCCCCAAACCCAGAGTTGTCTCCCAAAAAAACCCTCCTGGCCACCAAGTCCTCATCAGCACCACGGGACCACATCCTGCCCCCCCCCCAAGGCCCAGCAGCTCCCAGGGATCATGTCCTGCCCCAAACCCGGAGCTGTCTCCCAAAAAACCTTCCTGCCACTGTGTCCTCACCAAAGCTCCTCCCAGTGACCACGTCCTGTCCTGCCACCAGAGCTGCATGTTCTGGTCACCACGTCCCCAAGGTCACCAAAGGTACCTTCAGGGACCAGGTCCTCCCCCAAAACCAGAGACACCTCCCAAAAAACCCCTCTGGTCACCACGGCCTCAAGAGCAACCAAGAGCAGCTTCTTCTGGGGTCCCATCCTGCCCCATCCCCAAAGTGCAGCACCTCACAGGGATCCATCTTGCCCCAGACCTGGAGTGTTGCCCCTCCTGGTCCCCGTGTCCCCAGGGCCACCAGAGCCCTTGTAGGGCCTGTATTGTCCCTGTGACCAAGGCCCAGCACCTCGTGGCCACCATGTCCTGCCCCTACCCCACCCCCAGCTCACCCTCCCGGCCCCACATCCCCTCCAGGATCCTCAAGGCCCTGGAGGTGTTGCTAAGTGACTCCAGACCCTTCCCAGCTTTGGGACACTCCCGGGGTCGTTCCCCACCTGAGCCGGGCTGAGGTGGCCGAGCCCAGCCCTGAGGGTGCCAAGGGCAGCACCCCCGGCCCCCCAACCCCACCCCAGGGTGCCCTCGGTGGCACTCAGGGCCCTGCGTGTCCCCACTGATTCCCACGGCCCGGGAAGGCCCAGACATGGATTTAACCAGGGCTAAATGTGTCCCGGGATAACAGGGATTGTGGGCGGATGAGCGGGATCAGCGCGGCTCCGGAGGCTCTGCCGGGCGTTGGGGCTGCTGGCAGAGCTTGGCTGTGGGACAGGGGCTGGGGCCTGCCCAGGGGGGACCCAGAGGGGCTGGAGGTGCCCATCCTGGCCTTGGCTGCTTCTCCAGGTGTCAGAATTCCATGGGATTCCAGCACCGACATCCTGTGGCTCCAAAACACCCTGATCCAGTGTCTATATCCCACCAGGAGAGCGTGGGGCAAGGCTGCTGGGTGTTTGGATGGACTAATGGATGATGGATGGATGATGGATGGAGGGATTCCCATCCATCTGGGATTTCCTCCAGAGCCATCACACATCATCCTCCCACCGTTCCAAGGACCCGGCCCCACAGCTCAGGAGCGACCTCCGTTTTTCCACCTCAAATCCACCCCCCCCCCCCCCCCCCCCGATCCAGAGCCTGTATCCCGCCAGGGGAGCC